AAAAAAAAAAAAAAAAACACTAAAGCAAACCCAAACAAAAACAGAAGGAAGGCAAAAATCATTTTCTACTTTTGGAAAAATCAAGATTATTCTGGTGCTGTCAGAAAAACAACCTGACATAATTCTTTGAATACAGTTTTATGTGTGACTGGAATAAATAGAATTAATTTAAAACTACCAGTAACAAAGAGTTTCTGATTAAGGGAAAGGAACAGGGGGAAAGACCTCTGTCCTAATCTTGGATAAATGCTGATCCATCAAATAAATTTCCTACTGTAACAGAGACAAAAACAATAATTTAAGGAATATCAAAATAATTTAAGGAATATCAAAATCACAGTTTGCTGTGTAAACAAAAGATTTGAAAAAAACCAAACTGGTGTGATGTTGTGACTCCAACAGAAGTTTTTCCTGATAATCTATAGCTTTGTGTGTTTTTTTCTACCCTTAATATTTGTTAAAAAAACCCTACCTTTTTCCCTCAAATTTTAGACCTTCTCATTTAGAAAATTTTCAACCAGCATAATTTGATAACTCCACATGTTATTCCACAAACAATTTTTAAACAAGTGGCCATCAAAGCTGACCGCTGCACAAAGAAATCAGTGTCACTCAGCCAGTCTGCTTCTGGCAAGGGAAAAAAAAACACTAATTCAAAAAGTTCCAGCTGTCCCAGAACCCCAGAGAGGAATGGCTTTTTACTGTAACCCAAACAGTTTTCAGCAAAGCCATTTTCAGTTTTCTCGGTAAGTTGGTTGGGGTTTTTTACCCCATGTAGCCCGAGTGCCTGTGAGCCGGCCTTGGCGGTGAGGAGGGGCTGGGCTCCTGCTGCCGCCGTGCTGAGGCAGCAGCCCCGGTTTTACTCTTTTTTTTTTAGTGTGCTTGTTAATCAGGAGCACATTCAAAAACACCAGTCAACAGTCTCAGTGAGATAATGAAAATAATCCTGCATATGGGTATTTGTGGGGTCAATGCCTCCTTTCATTATCAATTATACAAACCATATTAATATGAGGACATGTACACTCGCCTCAGTCTTTCTCCAGCAAATGCCACACACACGTGGCTCTCACTGCTGCTGCTGCTGCTGCTGCTGCAGAAATAAAAACTTAAAAGATATAACAAATGACCCGCAGATGGGGTAATGCAGCCCAAGAAAAGCTGCGTGTGGTACTCAGGTAGAAACTGGGGTGTGCATGTACTGCAGGGATCAAATGGGCTGGTCCGTGCCGAGCACAACTGCAGGCTCTGCTCAGGGTGGAAAGCTCCAGCAAAGACCCTTCAGCCTTTTCCTGGGCCATCCCTCAGCAGGGAAAAACCAACTGGTCCTTGTTTGGATGACTCATGTGCTCAACTAATTGGCTAAATGGGGGCCAGACCTCTGGTTCCCTCCTGCCCTCATAGTTTGCTGAGCTGGGACCAAACCCAGACAACCACAGCCCATCCCACAGGGCTTTGTCTCCTCCAGCTCCACACAGATGTTTAATACTCCGGTTGCTTGTGCAAAGGCAGTGTTTCCCCTCCTCCAGATTTCACCTTCAAAAGCTCAGCACATCCAGCCCAAATGAATGATAGCTCTGGATCTCTGGCAGTGTTGTGGGTGAGAGAGATGAGAACAACCACAGCATGGTCCCCTGTGACACCCTGAGCCTTCAGCTTCAGGCAGGACACAGACCAAAGTCACTCTGCCTTGGTCTGTATTTCCTAGATACAGGGAAACAGTAGAAAAACATTTCTCCCTGACTCCCATTTCATGTTTGGGATTTGCTTTATTTTGAGAGCGAAGGTAGGGAGAAATGACTTTCAAGGCATCTTAATGCAATTTTATTCCTGCTCCCAAATAAGTATAATACAAAAAATTAAATCAGCTTTCAATGTGATATGGATGGCCCCAGGATACAGCTGAGGTGATGTCAGTCTACAAAACATAACATTGTGTCATTATTTCATGTCATTACTTATTGATTTAATTCCATCATATTTCAGACAACTTTTATTGTCTAGGTACAAATCATCATATTAATAACTGGAAGCACATATGCAGATATCAAAAACACCTTCTGCTACTAAACCAATTTTTTTAAATGAATGCAAGAGAAATATTTTAAGAGAAAACTCCTCCAGAAGCAATTTTTCCAGGGACAAGAAAAGCCAGCCAACTGTTTTTCTGGTTCTAATGTAACATATATTCTCATTTCATATTTAGATTCCTTTTTTACTTTTTAACATATATTTTTTTTAATTGGAATAATTGTTTGGAAAAGGGAGAAGTCACCGGTTTTGAAAACAAGGTATCGCTAAATATTCTATCTAAACATATTCCCTTGAATGTGCATTATCATATCTTCAACTTCACTAGGGAGCATTTTGGATTATGAACTGAAAAAAGTGGGTACTATAAAATGGTTGTCTTAGAATTAAATTTACAATATTGATGTGTCATAATAATAAAATAGAAAACAGTTTTAATATCAAAGTGACTATTATTATTGTTATTGTTGTTATTGTTATTATTATTATTATTTTGTGGTTGATGGGTTTTCCTATGCAGAAACCCTAAAAACAAAAATATACACTGAAACAAACAGTAAATCATTAAAGGTTTCTACACAGCCATGCCTCCTGGAGAAGTTTAACTTTGTAGACAAAGTTGGGTGCATATTAAATAATAAGCTTAATCAGAATTGAAAAATCTGACTGTAGAATGGAACATAATTCAAACAAAAGACTTCCCTGAAATTTACATTGGAAAAAATACAAATTATTTTATTTTAGTATTTTTCTGGCAGTAATCAACGTCTTTTAAAGATATTTCCAAAAATGCATGTTCTCCAAGTTTCATATTTTCCCGTGTTTTGTACTTTTTTTTTTTTTTGGCTTCTTTTCTCTCCATTGCTGCAGATGTTTCTCTGTGCTCTCATACACATTGGACTGCAGAACGGGAAAATCCTGTAGCACCGTAAATTCTCAGCTCAGTCCTACAATATTAGATTTTGGATGAAGCAGGCTATTCCTATACTGCTTTAACAAGCCCCCCAGCAAGGTTGCACGAAGAGGACCCAGCCTCACAGAGCAGTGTCACCCTCCAGGTATCAGAGGCTTGGGATATTTTGGTGTAGATGTCCCACGTCAGGGGGTCCCTGCCACTGCTCGTGGCTGCCTGCCCTTTTCAGCCGTATCCTCCAGCATCCTTTACTCAGTAACTCCCAGTGCTGGAAGGAAACACCAGGCTGAAGCCAGCCATGGGGCTGGGAGTCTCCCCCAAGGAAGCTGATGAGAGTTTTCCCACCCGTTTGATTTTCCTCTGAGAAGGGCTTGCCAAGCTGGGGACAATGTCCTGCACCAAGGCGGAGTACAAATGGAAAACTGTCCCTAGAATAATCCCCTGCAAGATTGTCTCTAAAATGTACTCTTGCACATTTCTCTATACTCAAATACCCCTCTTCATACTCTCCATTTTCAGTTTCAGACACAAATATCTGTAGATCTGCCTCAGTCCAGGTGAGACCTCATTCCAAGGTCTTATTCAATAAATTATTCCACATGAGTTTAAGGCTAAGCCCCTGCACAGTCCCTGCCACCCCCAGCAAGCCCCTCAGAAAGGCTTTGATTAAAGCCCACACTAAATGCACTGCCAGGTTGAAGCCTGAAAATGTTTATAGGACCAGGATTAAAACACATCCTATTGCATCTGGAGCTTCCAAAGCCAAGTGAACCTGAGCAAAGTCAAATGGAAATGTTAACTCTATTTTTATTTAAAAAAAAAAAAAATAGCATAGGCTTCAGCAGTAGTTGTGATATGCTGTCTCCTCTTGGGGAACTAATAGACAGGGAACAGCAAGGCTTTAAATGATTTATTCAGTACCCTGGAGATTTTTTATTTTCTTTTTCATTTCCACATAAATTACACAAGCACTTTATAAAATGAATACACATAAAACACCTTGTAAGTGCATAACTTAAAAAAAACCAAAACAACAAAAAAGCGCAAACAAACGAATGCCTTTAAAAATCTCACTGAAAATAGGTTTTCTGGTTGTTTGTTTGTACTAACTGCTTAAATTGGCAGTGCTGTTTTAGATTATAAGTAACTGAAAAATATATACTGTTTATATATATATATAGCTATATATTCCTGGCATTTGCTAGAAGTGCTTTTTTAAATTTTGTCTCATTCTCTTGGTACAATTAAAAGAACACCTAAGTTAAACAGCTGAGAGTGAAGTTGGTTTTTTTGTTATCAGGAACTGTCTTCTAATGGGAAACTGATAAAATAAAACATTGGACAACATTTTGCAAATTATATGGAAATATTCCACAGAAAGAAACTGCATTACCCCCACAAACTGCCACCCAGGTCTTCTCATTATTAAAATACTCGCTGATGGGCACAGAGTCCGTGGCAGCCAGGGACTGTTTGGGCTCTTCATACAATTGAGATATCATATTTACCGTCCTCAGGAGTCTGTCAGATCCTTCTCTTGTTCCCCCCAAGCAGGAAAAAATTAATGAAAAAGGGGAGGAGAGACAGTGAGGTGAGATCTGAAGGGTTCCCATCTGGCACAAGCAGAAATTGCTGCTGTTTCCTCCATTTGTTGCATCCCCGAACGTCTCCGGTGCGGACAACCCAAGAAGGCTCACAGCAGAGACGTGCTTCCCAGGGAGCCTTCTCCTTTTCCTTCAAGCCAACAGTTCAAAACATATCTATATATATCTATATATAGATATATATAGATATACATATATATATATGGTGCACTGCCGCCAGTAGAATCCTAGGAAGTTTCCCTCTCCCCTCGCTGGATGAACACCAGCGGCTGTGTCTGTCAGGGCTGGGCTTTTGTCTGGCAGCACGTCAGCAAGTTCAGGGTCGACAGTAGAGACTTTCAAGAGAACAAAGGGGTTGGGGGGAGGTGAGACAGCATTGCTGCTCCAGCAGCTCCATGGCTGGGGAGAGTTTTTGGGGTGGCTTTCCTTCTTTTTTTTCTTTGTGGAGGGCTTCCCCAGCTGGATACATAGGATGCACGTGGCCAGAGGATCAGGGTGTTCCAGCCCTCCTTGGGGAGAAACAGAGTTGCTACATGTCCCACCAAGGATGCCTCGTGTCCCCCTGAGGACAGCCCCGCCAGTAGAAGGTGTAGGTGCCACCAGTGGGTGCCAGACTTATTCACAAGCAGAGGCAACAGTGGTGACACTGGTGATCTTGGTGGAGTCATCAGACCACGGCTGGAGATTCTGAAGGGCGAAGAGAGAGGAGTTGTGGACACAGATGGGGTCGGCTTGGATGGGCTGGTTGATGGTTTTTTGGAAGGCTTCCTGCTGCAACTGCATGAGGATGCGGTTTGCTTGCTGCCGCTCGGCCTCCCGCTCCTCTGCTGTCTGCCTCCTAGGAGAGAGGGAGCCATTAGGGGGGCCTGGGGAAGCAAAGGAAGGCTGTCTCCAGAGAGATTAAGCAGTGCTGGGTGCTCATGATGTGGAAGGGCAGCGGTAGGAAAAGAGAGTGCTTTGCCATGGCGTGGTCCCACATCCCCTACACAAATGGCCAGTACATCCCATAAACAGGGGACTGGGTCTGTCTGTCTTACTGGCCTCGGCAAAACCTGCTCTGATCAAAGAGAGCAGCCCACAGTTCTGGACTACTCTCTGCCTACAGGAAAAAACAGTCAGAGAAAAAAACACCCAAAGTGTCACACAACAGCATTGCAAAAGTTGCAATCCCCTGAAAACATGCTCTGGTCTGACAGCAAGAGCCAAGCACGCAAAGCCCTAGGACGAAGCATGGAGCAGGGTGGGGTGAGACTGTGACTTGGCAGTGTCACACAGCTGGGAGATGGGCAGTGTCACCCTGGACATCCCCTTCCAGTATCCAGGTTTGCCACATTGTCTGACACGCTGTGGTGACCAGCTGTTGAGACCTTGGATGAAGGCAAAAACTTTCCCATGGCAGGCAGCAAAATTTCAGCTAAACACTAGAAACACATTTTTTAGCAGTAACAAAAATCAAAGCACAGGATATATTATCTGGAAAGGGTGAATGACAGTGTTTTTCAAAACAGTTTGGACATGTGTCTGCCTGGTATGACACCAGCAGAGGTGATCCCCAAGGAGGGGGTGTTAGGGGGTCAGAAGGGGCTCTTCCCAGTGTTGGTTGGGCCCTGGCTCTGGACTGCCTAGGAGCAGAGAATGAGATAGGTAGAAATAGCCTGAATCATATCCACAATGGAAACCCCACTCCTGTTTGCTTGGATGACAGATCAGTCTAAAGTCTGCAGCTTGCACTCACCTCTACTTCACCTGGCACCTCTATTGATGCTGCTAGGAAAACCTGGGAGCAACTCACAGTGCTGGTCCCAGGATTATTCCCAAAGCATCCTCTCCCTCCATTATACCCCCAGGCTCAGCTGACATCCTCTCAGCAGCTTCAGTGGACCACTGACACAGGAAATGGCAGCTTTTTAATTTAGCAGCTCAGGGGGATGTGAGATGTCTCATCCCCTTTGGCCACGGGAATTGAAGTGGCAGCTCTGATCTCCACAGTGGCATCTCAGAGCACAGGGCAAGGGTTCCTGGCTCCCAGTGGGGAAGCAGGCTGGGACTTGGATGCCAGCAATGGGCCTCTGGGACCCAAGCCTCCAGACATGTGGCCAGTGCTCCCTCCTGAGAGCAGGTAGTTCAGGGCTCAGTCCCTGTTCGAATCACTGTGTCAACATCTCACATCAGACATCCTGGGAAGAGCAGGCTCAGAGCTGCACCTGCCTGGGGAGCAGTTCAGTCTCTGCCTCAATGAATATTTAATGACTCCCGCACAACAAGGAGGTGCTCCAGGAGGAGGGAGGAAGCCCCAAGTCCAGTGATCAGGAGTACCATGGCTGTGAGCACCTTGCTCCCAAGTATCTCCCTGCTGCAAGCTGGTCCAGTCATGGATTCTCACCAGAATGGGATTTCCAGGTTCATATCTGCCTGGAAAGAGCTGTGTCTAAAGCAAGAGCCCAAATCTAAGGAGGGGGTCACCTCCCTCCAGCAAACAACAAGACAAGGGGCAGGGGCATGACTCTTCCCCCCAGCTTGTATTCAATCATGTAAACAGCTCAGAGGGCTTATAGTGACTCTATTTTCTTGGATACTTCCCACTACCTCATTCAGGCCGAGCCTACAGAGGCTCCTTCCAGCTCCCAGTGCTCCAGGAACCACTCAGAGCCCATTGCAGGGTCCTGTGGCATGAAGTTGGGTGTGCAATCAGCCAGGGGCACCCACTTCTCCATCGCAACACCTGGCAGGCACAGATGCATACAAGCAGAGCTTACATGCTTGTGTCCCTCTGGCTCAGGCCAGAGATTCTCCCATGTCTAATATTACAGCTGAGGTCTGACTGCAGCCTCTCCCTTAGGCAGAAGCAGGATTTAGTTTCTCTTTACCCAGCTATTTTTTGTAAAACACTTGAATACGTTTGTATCCTCTGCACCTCTGCCAGAAGAGGCTGAATTTAGCCAACAGACGCAAAGAGTATTGACAGATGGATTTGCCTCACTTCCTTAGGAAACCTGGTAAGAAGACACAGCTGACCCCATTTTGCAGGACTGTTTCTCCTCCAGGATTCTTTTTCTGGCCAACAGAGATCACTCCAGCTAGAGACTTCCTAATAGCTGGGGAGTTGGGCTACCATGGATTCTCTAGGGAAGAACTCACTGGGTTTGAGGATTCACATCCTCCCTTGGTTTCAGGCTCCTTGAGACCCGTTTCTTACTCTACCCCAGCAAACTCAGACAATCGCTGTCCTGTTAAGCCTTGGGAAGACTCTGGGGAAGTCCTTCCCCCCCATTCTGAAGAAGCTGCCTACATGCCTGCCCTCCAGCACCCAGTGCTCAGCACCCAGCCCAGGGCAGGAGATGTTCTCAGGGCTGGGGTGTCTCCCTCGGGACCATCCCGGGAACGTGCAGCTTGGGAGGGGCAGGGTCACTGCGACGGAGCCCTGGAGGCTCCGTGTGAACCCAGCCTTCTCTTCCTCTACGGCTTTACCGGCACGCCCGACGGCAGAACAAAAAGAAAGCGTTTGGGCAAAGAGGCGCTGCGAGCCCCGCGGGGACGAAAATCCGCGCTGTGCAAAGCCCGGTACTCCGACAGCCCCAGGCCGGGGGCTCCCACACGCCGCTGCCGCGGACAGGGGCGGGAGAGCCTCCGCAGCCTCTGGTGACACTGATTGCACCCCCTGCACACGCGTGTGCCCACACGCGTTCATCCCCGTGGCATACCCGCACACGTTTTTGCACGCGGGTCCGGTGTGCTCACACCAGGTAATACACGGCCCGCACCACACCACACTCGCGGGGCTGTGCTTTGCACTCACACCCTCGTACACACACGCACACACATACTGTGTGCGGGTACACACGGGCATGCGTGGCCTTCACACTGACCGTGCAGTTACACGCGTGTCCTGCTTGCACACACGCTCACAGGTGTGCACACACCGCATGCACACACACACACACACCGCTGTGCATGCACACGCACGTGTACACACACAGTCACATTCACACGCACACGGGGCTTGCACACCTCTGCGTTGCCATCAATGCTCCTGGCAGAGCTGCTGGCAGCAAGGTCCGTCCCCTCGGACTGCCCCACCCCGGTCCGCCGAGACCCGCGGTCTCTCACCTCCACTTGGTGCGCCGGTTCTGGAACCAGGTTTTTACTTGAGCGTCCGTCATCTTGAGGGCCTTGGCCAGGGCAGCGCGCTCGGCCGAGGCCAAGTATTTCTGCCGATGGAAGCGCTTCTCCAGCTCGCAAATCTGCAGGCGGGTGAAGGAGGTGCGCGGCTTCTTCTTCTTGGGGGGCGTGCGGTTCTGGTAGGGGTGACCTATACGGCGTGTTACAGTGAAGGGTGAGAGGGCCACTGGGGGGGACACGGGAGGAGGGGGGATGAGAGGCAAAGAAGCAAGCAGCGACACATCAGCAGAGGGGCTCCGGCTCCCGGCCGCTGGGCTGGGGACCACCCCCCCACCGCTCCGAAGCCGCGGCTTCCCCGCTGGCACCCACGGACGAGCTGCAAAACCGCGGCGGCGGCGCCCCGCGTACCGGGAAGGCCCGGCGGCCTTTCCTCGGTGCTGCGGGCACCCGCCGGGCACCGCTCGGCTCCGGCGAAGGGACGATGGCCGCTTGCTCAGCCAAGTGCCCGCCGGGGAACTGGGGGTCTGTAGCCGGTCCTGGCGC